TCTGCGTACGATGAATTTGTAAGCTTTTTGCATCAAGAAATGGACAACTCGGGAATGCGTATATATAACAAATCTAAAGTGCGACCCAACCAGAAATCACTGTATAAACCGTACTGGGATCAATCACTACAAGACAAGTGGAATTCTGTGCGCGAAAAGGAACGCGATTGGCTTAAGTGCTTGGACATACACAAATCTACAAAAGCCCAGCTTAAGCGTGCTTTTTGTACAGAACGCAATATCTTTGATAAGCTACATAGAAAAATCAAAAGACAATATCAAGCGAAACAACTAAGGGATTTACAAAGTAAACTTGAACAACCGAACTCCAGGGATTTCTGGCGGGATATCGGTAAAATTGGGATTGTTAACGAGCGAACATCAACGATACCGTTGGAAGTCAAAGATAGTGAGGGTAACATAATTAGCGACACACGACTTGTACTAGAACGTTGGCGATCAGACTACGAAAGCCTTTATGCAACAGACGGATCTGAGAAATCATTTGATGACGCCCATCTCCGTTCGATACAAGAACATGTTACCAACAATACCGTGCCCATTAAACATAACTTTGACATCTCTGAACTAAACCTACCTATACAACGTCATGAGATCGCGGACGCCATATGGAGAAAAAAATCAAACAAAGCGACAGGAATAGATAGTATCCCGGCGGAAGTTTTAAAAAACAATGCTTGTATTGATATTATACACACTTTAATTACACATTGTTTTAACCACGGAGTTGTTCCGGATCAGTGGAAACAAGGAATCATTAATCCGATTGTGAAACCGAATTCTACGGAACATGGAAATCCGTTAACATACCGTGGCATAACTTTACTATCCGTACCTTGTAAGGTGTATTGTGATATTCTCAATCGTCGACTAAGCAATTGGCTTGAACAGCATAACATCCTTCACGACGCTCAAAATGGTTTTCGGAAAGATAGGAGTTGCCAGGAGCATGTATACTCTCTATATAATGTTGTAAAGAACAGGATTAACACGAAACAATCTACGCACTCATGTTTTATTGACCTACGTAAAGCGTTTGACACTGTTGATCGAGAGTGCTTGTGGTATAAACTTCTACAGACTGGAATTAAAGGTTCAATATACAACGCAGTCTTCGCACTCTACGACAACGTCACTTCCTGTGTACGCGTCAATAGCTTGCATACTGATTGGCTATCGGTGTCACGTGGTGTAAAACAGGGCTGTTTGGCTTCGCCGACATTATTCGCGATTTATATTAACGACCTGATTGAGGAATTAAATGCGTCTGGCCTTGGGCTTGATATTGACGGTGTTAGTCTTAGCGGTCTTTTTTACGCTGACGATATAGTGCTGATGACGTCATCAGAGGAACATCTCCAGTCGCTTTTAAATATAGTGTCATCTTGGTGCACTAGATGGCGACTGTCAGTTAACGCTGGGAAATCAAAGATAGTCCATTTCAGACCTTCTAATGTACCGCCAACTCAATTTCCATTTCGCTGTGACGGACACTCTTTAGAACGGATGGATCGCTATAAGTATTTGGGTCTCTGGTTTGACGATCATGCAAAAATGGATATAGCCGTGACGGAATTAGCGAAGTCTGCTAGTCGTGCGCTTGGATTACTCACTTCAAAGTTCTATTACGCGGGAGGAATGACATATTCTGTTTTCACTAAACTATATGAAAGCCTGGTCCAACCTATCCTTCTTTACTGCTCAGCGATATGGGGCCAGTGTGAGCAAAAACAGATAAACAAGGTTCAAAATCGCGCGATGAAAGTTTTTCTTGGTGCTACAAAAAACACATCCAACATTGGAGTGAAAGGCGATATGGGATGGTTATCTCTCCTCAGTAAACAGAGGACTGAAGTTTTTAAATTATACTGTCGTGTCGGATCTGCGGACCCTAATCGGCTTTTAAACAAAATACATGTGTGGTCTAAACGAAGACGTTACTCGTGGGAATCCCGTGTACTTAAACTTGGGAATAAATACAACATTGTTGACATTTTAGAATCCGGTACCAAACTTACTCCGTCGGCCATGAAAGTAATAAGGACAAAGGTAAAACTAATAGACTAAAGTGAATGGTTTGGTAATCTCTGGAACGACCGCGGATTGGTAAACGGTAATAAGTTACGGACTTACCGGAAATTCAAAAACGATTCAAAACCGGAGTATTATGTTCGACAATACATGCATAGGCCTTACCGGAGCGTTCTGACCAAATTGCGATGTGGCAGTGCTGCCCTTATGATCGAGACTGGTCGTTTTAACAGTCCCCCGACCCCCCTTAATGAACGTTTTTGTCCATTTTGTCCACACACCGTGGAAACAGAAGTTCATTTTTTATGTGAATGTCCTATTTATAGTGACTTGCATTTTATTCTGTTTTACAGTATGAGACAATTATGTGATACTTTTAATATCTGTGATAATGATGAAAAGTTTAATTTGTTGATGGACAATGTAGATATTCAATATATCTTAGGCAAGACTGTATTTTTAATGTTCCGCAGGCGGAGAGTATTTTTATGAAATTTCTACCTATTTTAGTGGTTATTATTATTTATTAAATAGGTTATAATCTGTCTTAACACTTAAATGTACGTATATTGTTATTTTGGTTACAATATTTTACTTGTACATTATATCATTATGTATTGCAACGTTAGTAGCTATTTTATACTGCACAACTAATTTCAAAGTGTGTATTATCGTTTTTTAAGTGTCTCATAAGCCAGTAATGGCTGGATGTTAATATAGTTTTACCTGTATTTGTAATATATTGACTTATTTGATTTATGTATATTAACATGTGACACTATAATAAAATATTTTATTGATTGATTGATTTGTATTGTTGTGTGGGAAACTGCGAGCATATAGGCTTAATAAACCCTCAAAAGATATCATTAGCGGTTACCTCATCAACAGATTACAGCAGACTAGACTGGGACCCAGCTGCAGTGCCTGGGAGCCGCTAAGGAAGGGTGTTCCTTAGGGTTCGATACTTGGACCGCTGCTTTCTGATGTATAAAATAAAGTGTATAAAGGACAGTAACCTATCTAGTCATGCTGATTACAACACACTATCTTATATCAGTGATGATGCATCTAATGTAAAATATGTTTTAGAAGATGAAAGCAAAATTGTTACTGAATTGCTTTCAAGAAATAGCATGAAAGCAAATCCTGAAGCCAACAGTATTGATCAATTAGTGTATTAAATAATTTAATGACATTTCTGTATCGATAAGTTTAATGATTTAATGCAACTTTAGCATTCCCTGATTATTATTGACAATGATTCATTGCGAAGAAATTCGAAAAAATATCTGAATGACTTAAAAGAACAACGCTGCTTCGTAACAAGTTCGACCTAATGCATCCCTGGGTGCCGTTTCACGACGCGTACGTAAAATTACGGGTACCCGTAAACCGTACGTAAGTTTTTTGGTCCGTTTCACGACGCACACGTAAGTTACGAGTGCACGTAAATAAGTTACGGGTACCCGTAAGTTACGCCCAAAACATCACGTAACTTACGCCAACACATACCTGCCGTAAACCACACGTAAGTTTACGTTCAGACGTCATAAAAGGAAACAAATGACTGCCGTATTGTGTCGTGTTAAATAAATAAACTCCAGTGGGCATTACATAGGGGATGAGTGTGTCTAAACCAACAAATCACAAGTAGGGGCCAAAAGTACAGTATTTTCCCAATATTTTACTTGGATGGTAACAGCGACGGCTTTATATTCCATGCATTTCTAGATGTATTTCATGATTTTTAATGACGAGTTTTGTGATGAAATTGAACGAAATTTTAATTTCATAAATGATGATATTTATTTCAAATACTGCAATATTATTTCGTTAGCTGATTTTGAAGATATGATATATAATATTTCGCTTAATAATTATGCTAGTCAGGTCGTTGTTCATGTTTAACTTTAACCTGATTATATCAGGAAAAAATGAATTTCTGCAAATTTGCTATCCATTTTAAGAAAAAGTATAAAATTAATATGAAATAAAAATGTGGGAAATTCTATTTCACGGTATATCAAATTTTGTTTTTATAACATTTCCGATTGACTTTAAGATGATTTAAAGAAAAATGTGTAGAAATGTATGAAAGATGTTGTATGCAATGACATGCCGTACATGTAAGTCTTCAACGTTACGTCATTATCCCATTGGGTTGTATGTTATTTTACTAGGGGGCTTTCCAATAATTTTCCCTGGCTTCGTTGTTTGATCCATTTTAACGACATTTTGCGTACATCTGCAGAATTATCCAAAGCTTCCGTTAATTAGGTTAATGTTATCACCCATTTCTTAGTTTTTAAACCATAATGAGTTAATTGGCCATTGTGTCCTATTAGAAAGACGCCAACAGTAAATTTGATACGGAGATGAGAACTGCTATCTCAACATGTAAATACTACTAGCAAGAACAACGTGTAATTTTCTGGCAGGACGTTAAGTATAAAAATTAGATGTCAAACAAATTCATGAAATTTATTGAAAAAATGTTGATAGATGCAATGGATAAATGACGTATCGTGAAAGACTTATAACGCGTCACTAACGTATATCAATAAAGAGTAAGAAATTGATCATAATCCACCCAAAAAATCACGAACTGTTGTGTCATTTCGTCCTGTCTTTGGATTCCAGAGTTCACATTACCCAACATTGACGCACCTGTTGCAAATATTTTTGTAATTGAAAATAAATATAAAAGTATGTTAGAAAATGGTTGTTTTATAACGATCTGATCCCGAGGTTGTTAATCCTTACGTGTCGCACGTACGTTGGATCATATGTCGGATTATCTCCGATTGACAGGGGCGTTTTGCGTCACAGCCGGCGTTTATATAGACTTAGTGTACACCAGATCGTCAGAAGCGATCTATATTGCGTTTGGTGTTGACCGTATACCTAGCTAGATCGGAACAGTTGTAAGAGGCTTACCTGCAGCGATGGAGGAGACGAATACCACTGCACTGACAAATGAAGCCAGGGGTTTCTGTGAAACATTTGGAGATTCTGTCACTTCAAACAGCACTGGATTTGACTGGGTGGCAGCATGTGTACACACAGCTGTGATAGTTTCCAACAAACTTGGAAATTCATCACCATTAGTCATGCTTCTGATAAAGAACTTGAAATATATCAAACTTATGAGCGAAAAAAGAGGATATATCGTCGAAAGTCCGCAAGAGTATGAAAATGTTTCGAAAATATTTTCGTTCCCAGTCGCATTTTGTACCAGTGAGTTCAAAGGTAGAAGAAATATCGAGAACTGCTCGAGTATTCTCTACGAATACAAAGTCGCTGGCATGCCGGAGCTTAAAGCGTTTTGTGAGCAGCAAGATGAATTTCATACCAGCAAAATTTGCGTGGGTTTAATTCAGTTTCAGGCGATGGTGTTTAACATCACCCAGTATTTTGAATTAAGCGGAGAGCTATTTTTCTACGCCTATGTCTATCCTTTGGTGGCGCTGCTTGTCCTGCTATCAAACGTTCTCCTAGTACTGACTCTCTTGCGGGGACGGTTTTCGTCAGCAGCACACCTGCTACTCGTGGCCATAGCCTTGATGGACACACTGACCATTGTACTGCCCACCCCATATCTGTTCTACTACTTGACGCTAGGCAACTACCTGTCATACATTTCGTACAACAACTGTGTCGCTATCGCCGCTATTTTAATGTACGCATCTCCGATATGTCATGGCATTTCTGTCTGGCTAAACTTTGGACTGGCCTTACAGCGCTATTCACTCCTTTGGACTCACACTTATATTAATAGCTCACTCTTGCGGAGAAGGTTCTGTGTCATCTTCATACTTGTCATCATCCCAGGCGTCTCGGCTGTCTTCCTCCCAGGCATCCTCACTCTACCAGATTACCCTGTTGTCTACGTCTATTCCTCTAACGACGAAGAAATCATGACGACTTTGAAAACGCCACTCATGAACATGGATACACAGTTACGTCTTGCACAGGTGTACTTAGCACGATGTTTTTTTGTTCAGGTAATTCCTTGTATGGGTATGCTGACGTTTTGTGTGGAAATTGCTGTCAAATATAAATCGGTTGTGAAAGCGCATAGCAAAATGACGACAAATGAGAGAGGGAGTGGTGACTGGGAAAACAGTCAGACTTTGAATTTAGTTTTCATGTACATGCTAGCAATGTTCCTCGTGGCTGAGGTGCCAGTGGCTGGAGTGGCGTTTACTGCGGCCATGGCTGCTGTAAATAACGGGAGAATCGACGATAACGTACGTCTGGTGGCCTTTATCACAAACATCATCATCTTATTCACCTCTCCGCTCAACTTACTCGTATACACGTACCAAGGGGACTGGTTCAGACACAACTTAAAACAGCTTCTCTCGTGGAAGTGCAGGAGACCTCGACAGGAGTCCCGATTGGAAGGCAGTACCCAGTCCAGGACTATTGACTGTGAGGAGTAGCACAGCGGTTACTATAGATACCAAGTAGGCTAGACCAGGACTATTGACTGTGAGGAGTAGCACAGCGGTTTCTATAGATACCAAGTAGGCTAGACCAGTACTATTGACTGTGAGGAATAGCACAGCGGTTACTATAGATACCAAGTAGGCTGGTCCGGGACTATTGACTGTGAGTAGTAGCACAGCGGTTTCTATAGATACCAAGTAGGCTGGTCCAGGACTATTGACTGTGAGGAGTAGCACAGCGGTTTCTATAGATACCAAGTAGGCTAGACCTGGACCATTGACTGTGAGGAGTAGCACAGCGGTTACTATAGATACCAATTAGGCTGGTCCAGGACTATTGACTGTGAGGAGTAGCACAGAGGTTACTATAGATACCAAGTAGGCTAGACCAGTACTATTGACTGTGAGGAGTAGCACAGCGGTTACTATAGATACCAAGTAGGCTGGTCCGGGACTATTGACTGTGAGTAGTAGCACAGCGGTTACTATAGATACCAAGTAGGCTGGTCCAGGACTATTGACTGTGAGGAGTAGCACAGCGGTTACTATAGATACCAAGTAGGCTGGTCCAGGACTATTGACTGGAGGACGATTGCACATGCGTGCGTTTGAATGGTTGTGTTTTTCCCAGCTCTTGAGAATATCCAAGTTTATTTCTACATTTCTTGACTTGAACAAGTGAGATATCCACAGAAGATCTTGATGTAGGTGGTGAGGCTCGATTTGATTCATATTTGGTGTTTTTGACTTTTGAACATGTTGTGTAATGAGGGTAACCCTCTCGACTCGGCCGTCTCTCTCTAGTTCGCTGCCGCTGTAATGGCGCCTTTACCTGTGGCACAGGTGCCCCGATCGTCCTGCAAGGTTATCGACGCCGCTGACGCTATGGGTGATACATGTTCAACAGCACGTAAACGTTACCGATCTTCTGATTTATTTTATTTGAAAAGTGAGTTGGAGAACAAAAAAATGAAAATTTCAACTAATGACCTGCTTGATATTCACATTTCTGATGTCGACGAGTCTACCCAGCCATCCCCCGCCCGTGTTGACTCTCCTGGTCTCGTACGTGTCGAGGCACTAGTAGTACAGTTGACGGAAAACATGAGTAGTATGCACTCTTTGTTTTCGAAAAAACTTGACATTTTTTAACATAATGTGATGGCAAAAATGGCAGATGTTTTGGATATCAAAATAAAATCCGAAATGAACAGTTTACAGATGGACATGAACTCAAAATCAAACGATGAAGTTGAAAAACTAAGACTGGAGTTTGAAAGGAAATTAAGAACAATGAAAGACATTTGTATATCTAGTGACGGGAACACTACGTTGAACGTGGAGGTTACGAAAATCAGGGAGGAAATGCAAGGTCTGAAGGAGGAACTAAAAAGGGATTCTGCTCGAATAAATAACAAAAACCATGTACCGAGTCCCCTGCTGGCTGATAGGCAATTTAACATTGCAATTAAAAACCTCGTACAGTCAATACAAGAGAACGAAAACAGTGACACTGAACATACTAAACAAAATGTGAACACATTCTTACGAGCTGGACTCAAATTGCCAAGGGTAAAGATAACTCGTGCAGTCAGGAAACAATTAAGAGGCGGTTACCCTGGTGTTATCATCGCAACTGTGGACACAACAGAAAATAAACAAAAAATCATGGAAACAAAAAAATTGATGGCCACTCCTATATAGGGCGGAACAGGACCAGTCTCCATAAAACCGCGAAACGTGGATCCGGTGGTGTTGGTTTTTTACTACATAACAGTCTGTTCGATCGTTTCCACATTGAAACTGTTGTGACTTAAATGAAGGTATATTATGGATCAAACTTGAAAGTAATTACTCAAAGTTAAATATGTTTGTATGTATCATTTATTTGCCTCCAGAAAATAGCGCCAGGGCAATTGACCCCGCCATCCTTTTTAACACTTCAGCAAATCAGTATGTATCAAGCCCAGGGTTATCTCTGTATAATGGGTGATTTTAATGCACGAATTGGAGATCATAGTGATTATATTGAGGGTGTGGATCTCATCCCTCCCAACAACACTTAGATACTGTGGTCAAGGGTTTTGGCGATATGTTTCTGGATTTCTGCACAGATTGTAGTAAATGTGTTCTTAATGGCAGAATTGGTTCAAATGGTTATACATGTATCTCTACTAAAGGTAAATCAGTTGTTGATTACGTGTTGGCACCACATGAGCAACTTCATATATTTAATAATTTTAAAGTGCATAAAATGACCGACTTGATTAGTAGTCTAGATATTGCTGTCCCTGAAAAATACCTGACCACTCTTATCTGGAGTGCATAGTACACGTTCAAAATAACGTATATGATACAAATCAATCAAACACTAGCAAGGAAAATTTTAAAATGCATGCTAAAAAGTTAAATGCAAAGAAACTGCCCGACAATTTCCTGGTAAATAGTGATGACCAACTATTAATCATGAATATAATTAAACGTATAGAGAATAAATTGTTTAATGTTAATGATGTAGATGATGCATATGCAGAGTTTCAGGATTTTCTTCTAAGTGAGATGGAGAAGTCTGGTGCACGATATGCTGATAAGAAAAGCACTAGAAACATAAATAGAAAATCCCTATATAAGCCATACTGGGATGATGTGCTACAACAAGCATGGGATAATGGCAAGGTCAATGAAAGGTCATGGCTTAGATGTAATGTTTCAACAGCAGAGTGTAGGCGACTAGATATATTGCAATGCTAGAAAGTCCTTTGACACTATTCATAGGCGGTATAAACGCCAATATCAGCAAAAAAACCAATCAGATCTGAATGATAAATTCACTAAACTAATAGTAGGGATTTCTGGAAAGAAATTGGTAAACTAGGTATCGCTGAGGACAGAAAACCTACGATTCCCTTTGAGGTTTAGGATGACCAAGGCATAGTACATCGAGATATCCCGTCAGTTATTGAACGTTGGAAAACGGATTACGAAATGTTATTATCCACTGATCACGGATCTGAGGCGTATAATCAAGCACATTTTATGTCCATATGCGATGACCTGAAAACTGGTAATATATCTCCTGATACAGTACGGATGTAGCCATGTTAAATGCAAAAATAAATATTAAAGAGGTAAATCAGCTAAAAATCATAAAGCCTCTGGCATTGACTGTATACCGGCGGATCTATGCTATACTCAATAATAAGTAAATGTTTCGATAGCGGAGTCGTACCGGGTAAGTGGCGAGAAGTGATAATTAATCCCATAATCAAGCCAAACAGTACTGACCCTCAGGTACCGTTAACTTACAGAGCAATAACTCTACAGACTATCCCATGTAAAATTTATTGTAGTATTTCAAATAATCGTTTAACAAAGTGGCTCGAAATGAATGGGAAATTGACTGATGAACAAAATGGATTCCGCAAAGGTCGCAGTTGTCAGGACCATATCTACACCTTATACAGTATTATAAATAACAGAAAGAACGCTGGACAGTCTACTTACACTTGTTTTATTGATTTACAAAAAGCATTCGATACGGTAAATAGAAAAATTTTATGGTATAAGTTGCAACGTATTGGAGTTAAAAGAAGTATATACAATGCCATACTTTCTCTTTATGAAGACGTCACTTGTTACGTCAGAATAATGACGTCATTACTAGTGGCATCAGTGTTCAACGCGGTTTAAAACATGGCTGTTTAATGTCTCCAGTTATTTTTCTATATATATTAATGATCTAATTGAGGATCTGAAAAATTCTGAACATGGTATACATATAGATGATATTTGTGTTTGTTCGTTGTGCTACGCTGAAGACATTGTATTAATGGCCCCCAATGAAGGGAACCTTCAGAAATTATTGGATATTGTTGCGGATTGGTGCCGTAAATGGAGGCTTAGTATCAACCCTTCGAAGTCTAAAATAGTCCACTTTCGACCAAAACACCCCCCAGAAACTGGTGTCTAGTTTACCTGCGGAAATGTTTACATAGAAACTACTAACAGTTATAAATATCTTGGGCTTTGGCTTGATGAATATCTAGATCTTAAACTTGCTGTGAAGGAGCTAGCTTAGTCCGCGAGTAGAGCACTCGAGTCGGGGCCTTGACAGTTAAGTTCATCTCTGTGGGTGGTATGTCGTTTCCCGTTTTTAATAAATTATATGAATCTCTAGTGGAGCCAGTATTATTTTACTGTAGTGCCATTTGGGGGCAATCCGAACACCGTATTATAAACAATGTACCAAATAGAGCGATGGAGTTATTTCTAGGTGTTGGTAGAAATTCTTCCAATCTAGGTAAAAAAGGCGATATGGGTTGAATGTCTTGTGTATCCAAACAACGAATTGAAGTTTTTAGGTTGTGTTGTAAGTTAAAATCGGTGGATAATGACCGTATTCTGTACAAAGTCTATTCATGGTACTCCAGGAAAGGTAAATCATGTGATGTAAAAGCTAAAAAATTTGCAAGTAAGTTTGGTATCGCCAATTTCATTAATGACGCTCTAAATTCAACTAAATCCGTTATGTCAAAAATGATCATCAAGGATGAAGAGACGTGGTTCTCCAGTCTTTGGTGTGATAAAGGTAACATTAACGGCAATACATTTCGAAACAACCGGAACATTACGTCACCACTTTAATGCCGAGACCACACCGTAGTGTATTAGCCAAGTTAAGAAGTGGCAGCTTACCGCTCCTTATAGAGACGGGTAGATATACACGTCCAGTCACTCCATTAAATGACAGGCTGTGCAATTTCTGCGATAATAAAATTGAGAATGAAATCCACTTTTTATGTGAAAGTAATTTAGATCAATCATTTATTTCTATGGACCATAACGACAATTTATTTTTCTAATGAATGAAGAATCGCTTCAACCTGTCTTAGCTAAGTCAGTTTTCCTTTTTATGAAAAGGAGACGTGGTAGTATTTAAAACTTGATATGCTTTTTAGATTTTTTATGACTATATACCTCGTAATATATGGTTC